CTCAGTGCTTAGCACAGTGTTTGACACATAGCAGACAGTCTATAAATATTATTTCGAGTGAACAAATGTGTGATCTACTCAGTGCAGTGGAACAAGGAGGTTTCTGGTCTAGGTCAATAGACCGTGCTTTTACCAGAGTGAGAGGGAGGGTCAGCCAGGGAGGGGAATGGAGAGTTAGTTCAGTGTGTATTTGAGACATGTGAGATTGGCATACAAGTCCATAGCTCCAAAAGAAGAGTGGTTGTGGAAAGATAGGTTTAGGAGTCATCAGCCTACTGTATGATGACACTGTCCAGGGAGAGTGCAAATGTGGAGAAAAAGAGAAGTCTAGAACCCTGGAGACTCTGGAGAACACCAGCACATTGAGGCTGGTAAAGGTGAAGTAGAGTGATTACATATTCAAGGAATTAGAAGGAAAACCAAGAGACAACAGTGTCCCTTAAGTTCAGGGAGTTTAGTTTCAAGAAGGACAGGGATGTCTGATGCTGCTAAGAGGTCCCAGAAGGAGTGAGCAGTTTCTAAAATATTAGCTGTCTGACAGCAAAGATTTTGTCTGTTTTGGTCACTGCTGTATCCCCAGCACTTAGAACACCCTGGCCATAGTAAGCATTCAGTAAGTAACTGTTGAGTGAATGAATGAGTTGGAAAGGATCCCTTGAATCCAGTTGGAGAACCATGAGACTTTGGTGAAGACATGTTCAGAGGAGGGGTGGTGAAGGAAGCCAGATCATAGTGCATTGAGGAACACATGGGATGTGGCCATGAAGAGAGGACTAAGCATGGCCGACTCCATGAGCACTTACCACGTTCTAGGCACTGAACTAAGTGCTAATCCAGCTCCTTAGTGGCCCAGGCTACATTTCCTCTACAATTTCTTTGTGATAGGAAGGCAAAGAAAGTGAGTGTTTGAGATGACATGCAGTTGTTTATCAGCTACATATGTTAATATTACAAAAAGAAAAGAAAAAAGAAAGAAAGAAAGATGACATGCAGTTGAGACCAAGAGGATCGCAAATATTTTAACCCTGATGGGAAAGAATCAGTAGAAAGAAATAATATGAAGACTTTGGGGAAACGGGAAATAATTTATACAAGAAGAGACTGAGGAGAGATCCAGAGCACAGGTGAAAGGAAACTCCTTCCATCAAGATGGGGGTGGAAAAGGTCAAGACAGGATTTGTTGCAGACATTTTTGTCAGGGCAGAGAGGGGAAGCACGCAGGGGTGAATGAGAGTGCTTTCTGCTGAGAGCAAGGGAGGCGGTGATCAGGTTAGACTTGAGGAAAGTGGCACAAGTTGGCAATAACTGTCGCAGAGAACAGCAAAAAGCAATGGTTGGGATGGAAGATTGCAAGGGCAGCCTCAGGGCCCACTCAAGCTGAGAGACCATGATTTTACAGTGGCCCAATCAAGCCTGCTGTGGTTTTTCTCCCTTCCCTCCAATAGAACGTAGTAGCCAGCGTCGGGGACCCAGAAGGCAGATGTTAGCTTGATCCAGAGTTTAAGGTGCTGCCCACTGGGCGCAACAGAAGAGAAGAGACACATTGCCGAGAGTGTGGCTAGAGTGTGTCTGAGGTGAGGGATCACCACACCTGGGCACGCAGGGAAGTGGGTGAGGGTGGGAGAGGGCTGCAAACAGGAGGGAAATGGAGGGGTCACAGTTTTAGAGTCCAGAGAAAGTTCAGCAGTGGGACTTGGTAGTAAGCAGGTGCTTGTTCTGAGAATTCCATGTCCAGAGATGACCTGTGATGAGTAAGGCAAAATTTTGCTAAAAAGGGACAATAAGAGTAGAAAACTAACAGCGCTGTTATCGCTTCACTGAGATGACTAAGGAAGGATGCCAAAGATACTATTATTTTTTTTCATTGTAAACACTTCTGTGCTGTTTGAATTTTTTCAATTAGTGTGTACTACTTTTTAAATTAAAAACAACACAAACTTTTCAGTAAACCCAAAGACAAGAAGGGGTTTCTGTGAAAGGCGGGGGATGAGCGGGCAGCAGAGGTGGGAGGCTGTGGTCGTGGAACGGGCCCCCGAGTGCATCATCTGTTTGTGGATCAGGAGGTGTTCGCTCTGAAGAGGAGTAGCTGGAATCTGGTCCCGCCCTGCCGTTGTTGACAAGGAGGAAGTGGGAGCCCCAAGACTCGCTCAGCTTGGCAGCAGCAGAACCAGACCAGAACCTACCTTTCCTGATTTCCCAGCCCACTGCTCTGTTGCCCATGCTTCCTCCTGAGCACCGGAGGCTGCGGAACTTCCTGCTGTCCCGGCCAAGCTCGTGCAGCATGTGCCTGTGACACTGCTGACTGGGCTGCTGGCCATACCGCGCTTCCCACACCTCAGCACTTCTGGCACACCGCATGTGGGTGTGTATAGAGTCGGCCACTGTCCCCTACCTGTTTCCTGCTCTCTTCAGACCTCAGCAGAGGAGCAACTGAGAGGTGGAAAACCACAGTGATGATGCTTTATTTACATCCTTTCAGATGACCTAGTGTCCCTCCTGTTTTGCCGGCCCTCATGTTGCTGCCTCCCTCAGACCTTCCCTCTCCTAATTTGTTTGAGTGTCAGCCCTGCTTCTGTATCTGCTTCTTCCTACACGAACACAGATGAATCACTGAAAACACTGAGGAAGGGATTCTTCACGTGAGATTGGTGGCAGAGAGTGGAGGCATTGGAATTCTGGAGAAAGACCCCTTAACACATTAACTGCCACGTGAGTTGTATTTAACTCACGCTCATTTTGAGCCCAGGGCCTCATGAAGCACATGTAATTCACACGTCTCTCTACCTTGGGAGCTGTGAGAACTATTTTTCAAGTTACATATAATTCACACACAGAAAACAATAAACAATACATTTTTCATTAAATAAGAAAGAGTCATTTTGTTTTTGAAGCTTTTATTCTATTCTCGTAATAAAACACTGTGGCCCCAAGGAGAAAAAATTTTTTCCAGTATGGCAGCCAATGTGTTAAATTAGAGGCATTGTTCTGGAAAAAAATTGCTTTCATTTTTAGCAGGTCTTCAAAGTAGTCACTCTGCCAATAAATGACTGCAGACTTAGGGAACAGAGTACAGGTGTTTTTGAAAAATGAAAATATAATAACAACCAAAGAATTAGGTATTTTCCTGTCTTCTAAGCAATAGTTTAGATAAACCTGGTGTTTGTGGAGCTTTTCTTTTGTCATCAGGGCTGTGAGCCATGGTGGTTTCATATTTGTGATTTCTCCTTATTTGGCAGACTGAGGCCCAGAGGATTAACACTAAAGCTCAGGACTTTTGTCCTCTTTTGGACGGCTGCCGGGATAGATACTCAGATGAGCTCTCCATGCAATGATATGGGGCTCTGTGATGTGTGGGGTTGGGAGTGGGGATAAGGAGACAGAGAGTGGGGTACAGTTTTTCTTCATCCTGTCCCTGGGTTATATACTCCTTGGTCTTCCTGTAGAGTCCTCTGTAGAGATGGATTTGTAGAGATAGCCAGTCTGCTTGGAGATCTTGGAATGACCCTAAAGAGTATGCTTTGAGAGTGGTTTTAGCCCTCTGAAAGCCTGGTTGTCCTTTTTTTGGGGGGGGGGTGCAGTTAGGGTTTAAGAATGGAGTTGTGAGTTGACTTGGCCCAGAGTTGCCTCAAATCTCCTTCTCCCTGCAGAGTTTAGGCATTGGTGTGGGGATACACGGTATTTACTGGGAGCGGAAAGAATATGTTTATTCATGATGGTAGGAAAGGATCTCTCATTAGCTTGCTTCTTGGCACCTGAGAGCTGAGATGCAGCCATGTGGTGGTGCTCAGGAGGTTTCAGCAAGCTTCCTTGAGAATAGTCTGAGGCTCTTGGGTTCCTTCCTTCTGCCTGGACATGGGTAGCATTTGGGGTTCCAGCTTGTTTCTGAATACTCTCTCCCTGCCTTCTGCCAAGCCATCCTATCCCTGACTGTGTAGTGCCATAGGAAGTCGTGGATGTGTGGTGCCAGTGGGGTGGTGCATATGGCTCCAGCAGGGAATGAGAGGGCCTCATTAAGTTCAGGCTTGGGGCAGTGGAAGCAGAGCCCCCCAGAAGATCACAGGGAAGAACTAGTTGGAGGGTAGGAAGAGAGAGGGCATTAGTGTTTTGGCTTTGGTAAGTTTCTGCATAGACTGGGGTCTGTAGAACTATATTAGATAGTATGTTGGCTCATTCTGGGTGGCTTTCCACTGCTTGTCAGAAATCTGGGAAGATGAAGGAAGAAAGCAGGACAGGCTGGTGCCCATGTGCCTTCTTGGAGGTATCAGCTGCATCATCTCAGGCCTCCTCTGCATGGGAGAGCCTCCTATCATCTGCTGCATCTTCTCATATTAGCTCCTGGGCATTTACAAAGTTGGAAACTCTTCATCTGGAGCCTTCCAGAGCAGTACTACTTAAAGTGCCAGTTTGCGAGGAGATAAGAAGCATATGCACCAGAATGTGAAACTGTTCGCTTCATTGAGAAAAATCTTATTATTAAAAAGTGTTAAAACTGGATAGTGTGTTTACTCTGACATAATTGATGTCAGAGTATGTCAGAATAATTGACATAATTTACATTCTGGTGTCATATAAGCTTCCCTTCTAGTGACCAATGAGTAACACAGTTTGCAAATTGGCAGCTCATCTGCAGACCACACTTTGGGTAGTCATGCTCTAGAACTGCTGCTCGTACAGAGGCAGTTGAGGTCTTGGAATTGTGTGCTTGGTATAGTCCAAGGGAAGCCAGAAGTACAGAGCCCTGGTTAAGAAGAGCTGTCACCCAGATCGTTCATACATGGGTCACATGGATACTGGGGAGAAAGGGAGCACAACTGGAATGAAAAAGTTGAAATGGATGACTAGGCAATGCCTATGCCAAGGGCAAATGCCACATCCTCCCTTGCCTTTTACCACAAGTGTGTGAACTGAGGGATTAGAGCTAGGGCCCCTACGGGGGCCTTGGTTTTGCCTCTTGCTTCTGATGACAGGTTAGCCACACTGAGTTTACCCTGTCTTTGCAGGAAAACGACATACGCTGGAGAAGAATATATTGGTTGTCTCTGTAGTCAAATCTGGATGTAACCAGTTTCCTGCTTTGGAGTCAGTGGAGAATTGTAAGTACTGCTCTGTTCCTGTCCTAGAAGAACTGGCACTTGTCTGAAGCTATTACTTTGGCCTGGCAGAGTCCCCCATGACCACGGAAACCAAGTCCTGAGAGCCATAGAAGATAAGTTTTTCCTGTGGAGCAGCTTAACAAGTGTCTGAAGGTTGGCTGCCGAATGTCACACTGGCTATTTATTGAGTCCCACAGGATGCCCACTTTCTGGACTGAGTACATTTCTATTTTAGGAAAGTGTACATTTTGCTGATTTTCTCTAAGAAACTCTACATTGGGGAGAGAAGGAGTTTTTGATCATTTATACTGAGATGAAGCGAAGTCATTAATCCTGTGACTACTTCCTGTCTTCCCTGAGCTGCAACATTTGGGGACTTTTCAGCCTCTAAAGTGAATCTTCGAGTTGCAGCTTCTTCCTCACATTCTTGGATGAAGTAGCTGAAATCTTAAGAAAAAGGGAAAGGAGGGTGATCACAAAGGGTTTGGGAGCATCGTGTCCCGGACTCCCCTGAAAGCATCCTTACTCCCTTTGCCAATAGGAGACTTCATACTTTCAGCTAAAAGCTGTTAGGATTTCACATTTCTGCTGGGAAACTGACCACGAGGTAGGTGTGGTGCCTTGCAGAGGAGTCTTCCCCAACCTGACTCTATCATCAGACGTCATCTTCCAGCATCTGCAGAGCCACTGTGGTGACCACCCTCCCACACTGGCCCCAGGCCTGGCTATCTGACAGCTATCCTGCTCTGGGGATGTCTCCTCATTGAAAGTTTAAAAAAATATATATGATCTTGCTGGGTGTTTTTTATGTAGAAGGATTTATATAGAACATCTGGTCTATAATCTGAGAGAAGAAGACCTTGACTAAAGGGGGTCATTTCTGTCATTTCAGATACCCTGACCATAAATGATGATGAATGCTTACTCCTCTCTGAGACGATCTGGGGAGCTCTCCGAGGTAACAAGGTGGGGCTGACAGAGAGAGACAGACAGACACATGATGTGGGAGGGTTGGTGAGGTGGAAGGACAGGACTTGGGGCCTAGCGAATATCTCCACTTTAGAAAACTTTCCTCAGGGAAACCAGTTGGAGTGTTTCCCATCTCCTTATAGCCGTCGCTAGAAGTTGTCAGGTTTCACCCTGTGCAGTGGCAGCAGCTCTCCTGGGCAGGCGCTCTGGGGCGAGGGGTAGGAGGGTGTTATCATGAACACTGCCCGTCCAGCTCTCTCTAAAGACACGTAATTAGAAAGGTTCTTTAAAAAGGAAAGCTATAACAAAAGAAATAGATAAATGTAAAAAAATGAATAGTAATAAAATATGTAGAACTATATATTTCTGGAGAAAATGGGGAGTTTACTAGCAAACAGGTAACAGGCCCCTGCCCTTCTCGGTGTACTGAAAAGGTGTAACGTTCCCTAAACGCAGACTTAGCCAAGTACCTCTGCTACACTGGGTAAATGCTCTGCTGGGAAATGATGAGGCAGTTCCCACAGAATCCCACGCCTTGTTTTAGTTTGTCTTTATACCTTGCCCCTCTGTGCTTTGGAGAAACAGTGTACTGACGCCCCTTTCTGCCCTCGTAAACCTTTTGTGCAGGTGCTACAACTAGTGAGGTGGCGTGGGGGGATCTGGGACTCCAGAACGCTGGGTGTCAGAGTCAGAGTAGGGAGGAGCGTACTAGCAGAGCACTAGCAGTCTGCTTCAAATTAGGTGCTGAGTGGCCACTAAGGTCTCATAGATTCTTTCATTTTGAAATTTGGGGACTCTGGGAATCCTTCACAGGGCTTCTGCAGGGTTTCCGGAAGTGGAGTTGTAGCTGTCGATAACATGCAATGCTCTGGACTCAACATACCTGTGGTTGGGCTTTCCTGGCCTCTGGGAGACTATCAGTCCTTGGGGGCAGTTGCTGCCCACCACACCTCAGCTCCCTGCAGCTGGGTCTTTGTCAGACTCTGCAGAGGAAGAGTGGATGCTCCTTTGTCTTCTGAGTCTAGCTACGGACCCAGGCTTCTTGGAAACTCAAGCTTATGATCACTTTCTCACAACTGAATCTGAGAGAAGTGAAGGGGCAATAGAGTGGGGACCCATTTTCTTAGTTCCCTTAGCTCCTGATGGGTTTATCCATGGAAAACCTTAACCCTTGCAGGCTGGCTTGTCCCTGCATATGTCCTCATGAGCACATATCTTGGCCTCTCTTTTTAATATTCCTGTGAGCTCAAGGCTTAGGAAATATGTATACGAGGTTAGTATGTTGCAAGGAAGGACACCAAAACCCCTTTCCCTGCCACCTCCCAAAATAAAAATTCAGAGTAAAAATGGATACTGGCTTCCTAGTGTCCCCTTTTCATAAGTGTTAAGAATCATCAAGCCTATGCTACTTCCATTTCACTGTGTACCCAGACATTATGCTCTGTCACATTAAGAACCTTCCAAATGGGTGATCTCTTTTTCCACTTCCTGAGTCTCTCCTCTGCCTCTCCCCTTCTCCATAGGTCTGGAGACTTTTAGCCAGCTTGTCTGGAAATCTGCTGAGGGCACGGTGAGTATGGGCCCTCAAAAAGGGCTCCTTTCTCGTACGGGCAAGGTGGCTCATGCCTGTAACCCTAGCACTCTGGGAGGCTGAGGCAGGCAGATCGTTTGAGCTCAGGAGTTGGAGACCAGCCTGAGCAAGAGCAAGACCCCGTCTCTACTAAAAAAAAATAGAAAGAAATTATCTGGACAACTTAAAATATATATAAAAAATTAGCCGGGCATGGTGACGCATGCCTGTAATCCCAGCTATTTGGGAGGCTGAGGCAGGAGGATTGCCTGAACCCAGGAGTTTGAGGTTGCTGTGAGCTAGGTTGATGCCATGGAACTCTAGCCAGGGCAACAGAGTGAGACTCTATCTCAAAAAAAAAAAAAAAAAGACTCCTTTCTAATCTCTAGTGTTTTCTTTTTTTAAAATGTATTTATTTTTATTTCAAAATATTAAGGGGGTACAAATGTTTTTGTTACACGGATACCTTGTATAATGCTTAAGTTGGGCTTTTAATGGTGTCCAGCACCAGAATAGTGTTCATTGTACCCGATAGGTAAGTTTTCACCCCTCATCGCCTCCCACCCTTCCCCTTTCTTGGTTTCCAATGACCTTTATAGCTCTTTGTACCCATGTGTGCCCATCGTTTAGCTCCCAATTATCTATCTCTGGGGTTTTCTCCCAATGTAAAGAATCCTGGAAAAATCTTATTCTGCCTTAGACAGAGTCCTAGAGGCTTGCAATAGCCCCAGCAGGGAGTGTAGGAGGAGATGGGGATGGAAAACTGGTTTGGTAGATTTGGTCTGTTTGGAATCACTATTTGGTTCCCCTGAGTCATTATTTAGTAATGACCTTGAGGCCACACTGCTTTGTAAAAAATAAACATGTTAACAGTCAGGAAAACCCAGAATTTGTAGGCTAGGTGGTGTGTGGCACAGTGTGTTTGGTTGGCATGGGAGAGTTGCTGTCTGGGAGGGCGGTGGTTTATGATCACTGGTGTAGAGGTGTGGGGCGTTTGGTGAGATCGTTACCTTGAGAACAGTTACAGATTGGCTTTGCAGGGATCTTGGGAGAGTTTTCCTCACCCCCCTATTCCCCATGGTAAGCTCCCTTTGAACCCTGACATCTTCAATGTTTGGTCTGCACAGTTCTTCATAAACAAGACTGAGATCGAAGACTTTCCCCGCTTCCCTCATCGGGGCCTGCTGTTGGATACATCTCGCCATTACCTACCACTGTCTACCATCCTGGACACTCTGGTACCCAGGCCTTAACACCTTCTTTGCGCTTAGGGTTCTAGGGTGATGGGGCAAGGGGCAGACCAAGTTCCATATTCTTAAAGAGTTAGAGGGGGAATGTGTGTAACTCTGTGAGCTCCTGGGGAAATGTAGAAGAGGAACTGCTCCCAAGACTCAAAAATAACAAGAGTGACTCAAATCTACCCCACTGGCTACTGTGAACCAGTGTTTTAGGCTGATTCCAGGGATACAGAAGGTGTATTGGTCAATTGGCTTCTTTGGCCAGGTAGAGCTAACTTTAGTTTAGACAAGGTCATAGGAGGGAGACGTTAAAAGCCTTAGCTGGGGAAGTTCCTAACTCTCTTGTGTTTGATGTGCAATCTTCTCTGACAACTGATGCTCTAGATCATGTGCCTTTTCCTTTGCTTCTCTGGTGGAACGAAAGGAGTCAGCACATCTATCAGCCTTGGCTTCTGAGATTTATGAGTTAAGGGGCTACTAAGTTCCTAGCAGGCCTCACAGTTTGTAAGCACCAGTCAGATAACCCAACACTAATGGCAGGAGGAAGCGTTGATCTTCAGGCTATTTGAGGGCTGCGGGAGACTTCAGGGTACCATGGTTGCTGCAGGCCTCCTCTCAGTGTGATCAGAATTCATCTCAGAAAGAGGAGCGGCCGGGCATGGTAGCTTATACCTATAATCCTAGCACTCTGGGAGGCTGAGGCGGGAGGATCGCTCAAGGTCGGGAGTTCAAAACCAGCCTGAGCAAGAGCGAGACCCCGTCTCTACTAAAAATAGAAAGAAACTAATTGGCCAACTAAAAATATATAGAAAAAATTAGCTGGGCATGGTGGCACAAGCCTATAGTCCCAGCTTCTCAGGAAGCTGAGGCAAAATGACTGCTTGAGCCCAGGAGTTTGAGGTTGCTGTGAGCTAGGCTGACGCCATGGCACTCTAGCCCGGGCTACAGAGTGAGACTCTATCTCAAAAAAAAAAAAAAAAAAGGGAGAGACCACTTCTGTCAGCCGTCTTTGGATAAGTCCTGGAAAAAGAAGAAATGTGCTGGGTCTTCCCTCCATGCCAGGCACTCTCTAATGGGAAGGTCTGAGAGACAGACCCTATAAACACCTCCCTGGAAGCTGGGCGGGTTGAGCCTGTTGGGGTGTGTGGAGCAGCCCGCCAGCCTGCCCAGCTTTCCAGGTTTGAGGCTGAAACTGGAGAGGCTGTGATGGGTTCACAGTGTGTGCTCTGACCCACAGGATGTCATGGCGTTTAACAAATTGAATGTGTTCCACTGGCATCTGGTGGATGACTCTTCCTTCCCATACGAGAGCTTCACTTTTCCAGAGCTCACCAGAAAGGTATGTCCCAGTTTCTCCCAGACCAAGTTTATGGGTTGACATTCGAGCCTGGCTGGGCTGTCAAGGACAGTGGCTCTCATCCTAAACAGCCAGTTTTTGGCAGACATACTGACATAGGGGAAGGACAGTATTTTTGGTGTCACTTTAGTTCAAGTCCAAACTTTGCCATTAATTTGCTTTGTGACCTACAGGAGATAAATCTCTCCTGGTCTCTTTTTCTCTATATTTATTTATATTCTGCTACATGGACATGATACCTACCTTGTTTATCTCACTGGCATTATGATATTCAGATAAAGCAGATTTGATAACTTGTGGAAAATTATGATCAAGTTCCTTGAAGATAGTCCCTGATAGCAAAGAGCTGTGAACAGGTTTTCTGATATCTGGGGAGTCCTTTGGAGTATCTTTCACTGTGCGAGCCTTCAGGAAATGAGAACCTGAAGGGTGTCTTATGCCTTTCAGGGGTCCTACAACCCTGTCACCCACATCTACACAGCGCAGGATGTGAAGGAGGTGATTGAATACGCGCGGCTTAGGGGCATCCGTGTGCTGGCAGAGTTTGACACCCCTGGCCACACTTTGTCTTGGGGACCAGGTAAGAATAATGTCTGGGGTGGGAGGGAGTCTGTTGATCATCCTCAGTAGGGGGCTCAGGGAATGGCATGTCCCAACTTTGGTCCCTGGAGGCATGTCTTCCGCCAGTGTCTTCCTCTTGATAATTTAGATAGGAAGAACTTCGGGCAGAGGAGACCACTTCTTACTATGAAAATGTGGGCAAATTCTTCTCAGATGCCCTTGCTGATGGTTGTACCCTAGAGTGGATGCTGAGGAATCTGACTCCCAGGATAGAATCTAAAAAAAAGAAGCCCAGGGTGGCCTCCAGAGGTTCAAGTCGGACAGTCACCACTCCTGCTCGCTCATCTCCTCTGTATACTCCAGCCCCCCAGACCGAGCCCCAAAGGAAGGTTAAAGGCAGGTTGAAAGAGGCTACTGGCCTTGTATAAAATTGAAGATATCTTGTGGCCTCAGCCTCAAGAGGGAAAGACTCTGGGCCAAAGGAGACGCCCCTTAGGAAATGTAGAAATATTCCGCATCAGAGTTGGCCCCAGGTTCAGGAGGAGAAAGAGAAGAAAGATTTTGCCAATGGAGCTGGATCAGGCTCTCCCTCTGCTTTTCTGGGTAACGGTGGCAGCAGGAGAGCAGCCCTTGGGAGCAAGGGTGACGCCTGCTGGAGGGAGCGCATCTAGACGGGAGTGTGCGCTGACAGTTGCCTCCGCCCATCTATGATTGTGGGTATGTTCTTATTTCTCTGTGACTAAATGATGGTGACTACTAGTGTCAGTGAATGCCTGAGTGGGCCTACCTAGATGCGTGTGACGTTTATGAGCAGGATTGTCTTTGTGTGACTTATGTCCTTATCTGTAGAACTGACTGTACATGAGGGTCTGTGTATTTGTGATGCTTGAATGGATTCTCTCTTGGTTTAGGGATCCCTGGATTATTGACTCCCTGCTACTCTGGGTCTCAGCCCTCTGGCACCTTTGGCCCCGTGAATCCCAGTCTCAACAATACCTATGAGTTCATGAGCACATTCTTCTTGGAGGTCAGCTCTGTCTTCCCGGATTTTTATCTTCACCTTGGAGGAGATGAGGTTGATTTCACCTGCTGGTATGAGCCCTCTGATCTTCCCATCCTGCCTAATGAATTGCTTGCTCAGAATAGAGGTTAGCACCCAAGGGGCCACCTAATTCAGCTGCTTCTCAGGGCCTAACCTTGCAGACAGCAGTCTGTCTCAGCTCTCATTGCTTGGGTCCTGGGCCTTCCCCTCTCCACCTTCAGAGGGGCCCTACCTGAATTTGGCAAGGCTGTCAGTGTGAACCTCTCCTCCTCTCTCATATCCTTGAGATGTTTACTTTAAAAACCAGCTCTTAGAAAATTCAGGATAGAGAAAAATAATCCCTTATTATGAAAGCAACCCTCAGATCTAGTGAGCTCAAAAGAGGTTGAGGGGCTTCTCTGAGAATTGGGCACAAGAGCTACTTCTGGGGAAATAGTTTGGCTCTTTGGAGACATGAGCAGGGCAAAATATTCTAGAAGGAGAACAAGGTGAGCAAAATGCAGTTGTTGTGAGGCCAGGGATCCACAGCAGGTGACAGACAGCAGGCTTGTCAGCCACCTGGAATAGCCGCTAGGGAAACGAGACTGGTGTGTGTGGACCCAGGGCTAAGACTTTGGGCCCACGTGTTGCAGTCCAGAGAGAGGATTAAAATCTGATTTCTTTGGGAGTTTGAACTTAAAACTCATCGTTTCTCAGCCTCTGTCAGCAGTGCCTTCCACATAGCTTTGCATAGTCACAACTTCTTCATGTGGGGCTTCTGAGATTCTTGGCTATTTGATTTTTCAGGTGAAAGGAGGAAGTTGTGGGAGGCCAGGTGACTAATCCCCAGGCTTTAGGCATTCAGGATGTTGAAAAATTGATCTTCATTTTTTTCATGGGATTCAGGAAGTCCAACCCAGATATCCAGAAATTTATGAAGAAGAAAGGCTTTGGTGAAGACTTCAAGCAGCTGGAGTCCTACTACATCCAGACGTGAGGAAGGAAGGAGGCTGGGCAGGCAGGGGCCCTTGAGGGTCACCTCTTGTGGGGTCTTCACTTTCCATATCAGAGTCAGGCCCTGCTTGCCCCACTTTCTGGGCCCCTGAAGGGTCCCTTTGTCCTATCCTTTCAGGTTTGGAGTGGTCAGTCCCCAACCCTGGGGAAGACACTGCTCAATTGGGAATAGACCGCCAGCTAGGCTCAACCCCTAGAGCACTGGCGCAAACAGCCTGGAGCCAGTCTGAGCTGAGCAGATGCTTTCTTGACAATCCTCTCCTCTGCAGGCTGCTGAACATCGTCTCCTCTTATGGCAAGGGCTACGTGGTGTGGCAGGAGGTGTTTGATAATAAAGTAAAGGTGAGCCGGGGCAGAGAGGAGAAGGAGCCACTAGCATTGTCTCTCTCTGGTCTCTGCAGCCCTTCCCTGCCTCTGGAGGGACTGATCTCTGGGTTTGGACTAGGCTTTAATGGTCAGAGCACTCTCCTGTTCCCTCTAGAAAGGCTGCAGAGGTATGAGCCCTGAGTTTAGGTATCAGAGCCTCTGTCTACCCTCCTTTGCTGCCAGCTGATCAAGAGTTATTTAAGCCGCCAGACCACCTGGGATTCCTGAGACTGGCAGGATGAGCTGGATTTTCCTTCCTGAGTCATAGACTAGGGTCTTTCAGGTCTGTGGAAGCTGGGCTACCTTCTTCATTTTTCATCAATAAGATCCTAGCCTCCTTCACATGCAGGGGCTCTGTGGAAACCCTGTCCTATGCCCAGTAACATCTAGAGACCACTGGGCATGTTTAGCACCTGGACCTCATTGCTTGCCTCCCCGGCTCCCAGCTAGTATTACTAGCTCTGTGGACAGGGCGCTGCAGGGGGCCTGGGGAGGGAGAGCAGCAGGGAGCTCTCTCAGGGCCTGTGGACTCCTCGGCCTCTGTATCAAGGTGTGAGCACAGCAGTTAGGAGTCATGTAGACATACCTTTTTTCTTTTTTTAAGACAGAGTCTCTCTCTGTTACCCAGGCTGGAGTAGCAGCCTCAAACTCCTGGGCTCAGGGGATCCTCCTGCCTTAGCCTCCCAAGTAACTCGGACTATAGGCACATGCCACCACACCCAGCTAATTTTTCTACTTTTAGTACAGACAGGGTCTTGCTATGTTGCTCAGGCTGGTCTCGAACTCCTGAGCTCAAGCGATCCTCCTGCCTCAGTCTCCTAGAGTACTAGGATTACAGGTATGAGCCACCGCGCCTGGCCCATACTTTTCTGCCAGGGAACAGAGGGAGGACACACCCCTTGGCCTAGGTTGCCTGCATATGAGTGAGGCCCAGGAATCTCCTCAGCTCTGTGCTATTACTGCCATTTGACCTTTTGTTACAGGTTCAGCCAGACACAATCATACAGGTGTGGCGAGAAGAGGTGCCAGTAAGCTATACGAAGGAGCTGGAACTGATCACTGAGTCCGGCTTCCGGGCCCTGCTCTCTGCCCCCTGGTACCTGAACCGTATATCTTATGGCCCTGATTGGAAGGAGTTCTACCTAGTGGAACCCCTGGACTTTGAAGGTGAAAGCAGGGCACTCCCCTTACTGACCAAAGGAGGCTGGGCTTGGGGACAGGGTTGGAGGCAGGAGGGTCTGGGCCAGACATTTCAGGGTAGGAAATGAAATGATGTATCTGAGGAGAGGGCCACATTGGGAAGGTGCCTGAAGGGGACACCTAGAGTTCCCCCTACCATCAGCCTGTTGTTACCTGTTTTCTCTCAGGTACCCCTCAGCAGAAGACTCTGGTGATTGGGGGAGAGGCCTGCATGTGGGGAGAGTATGTGGACGGCACAAACCTGGTCCCTAGGCTATGGTAAGGGTTTTCTGGAGAAGGTATAGGGTGGGCTTGAGGGCAGGGGTTCTCCCTGACAGACTCAGTCCCCTCGAGCAACCTGCAGACGAGCACTGTCCCCTCAGACCTGAGGGAGAAGAGGCATTGCAGTGAGCCTTCCATTTGTCTGTGATACTCACTTTTCACGTGATGTCCACATGTTTCCCTCCAGTGACCAGAGAGGTGTGTGGAGTAGCTGGCCATTGTTATCTCCACCTCTCAGGTAGAAGTAGTGAGGCCTGGAGAGCAAGGTGACGTGCTCAGGATCCAGCACTGAGAGTCTAGGATTCCCACGATCATACTTTCCTTTGCTGTCTCCTCAGCAGCCTTGCCAGGCATGGTCAGCTGTGCCAGGTTGACGTTTTAAGGGCATCCGCTGCTGCTGTCACTGTCAGTTAATGATACCTTCAAGGCTTATTATTATTCCCATGTCTTTGGGAGGGAAAGAGAGTGGAATCACTGTCCACAATTTAATGAAGGTGGAGCTGAGCCCTAGAACTCTCTGGGACTCGTCCAGCCAGGCTGTGCCTCTAAACAGGTGTTGACCACTTGCCTTGGCCCTGAGCTGGTCTGGGGCCCTAGACAAGAGGCAGCAGCCTGTGGATATCCAGCATCTGTGCAGGGAACACAGGGCCCAGCCTGGCACATGCCCGATTCTCTGCAGGCCCAGAGGAGGGGCTATTGCTGAGAGGCTATGGAGCAACAAGCTGGTAGTTGACCTGAAATTTGCCCATAAACGTCTGTCGCGCTTTCGCTGTGAGTTGCTGAGGTGAGTAGGCTGTGGGGCCTTGCTAAGGTGTGGGTGGTGCAGATCCAGGGCGTGGGACCCCTTACTGAGAGGTAAAGAATAGTAACAATAGTTAACACTTACAGAGGCTTATAGGTGGCCCTGCATATCCCAGGGTTGTACATCTGTGGCTTCAACCAACTGTGACAGAAAACATTTGGGGAAATAAATAAATAAATATTAATACAATAAAAAACTATAACTATTTACATAGCATTTATGTTGTATTAGGTATTATGAGTAATCTAGAGACGATTTAAAGTGTACAAGAGGATATGCATAGGTTATATGCAAACACTATATCATCTTATATAAGGGACTTAAGTGTCCATGGATTTGGGGATCTGTGGGGTCCTGGAACCACTCCCCTGCTGATAACCAGGCATGACTGTACTCTGTGGCAATCACTGTGCTAAGCCCTTTAGAGGCACTGGCTCATTGAATCTTCACCACAGCCCCATAAGGTAGGTGCATTTTATCCCCTTTGCAGAGGTAGACAGAGAAGTTCAGTCCCTTGCCCAAAGTCACTAAGAAGCAGGATTTGAACCAGACTGACTTTTTGGGCTCTCATGACATCTTCACCTCTGTTGGGGATGGGCCTTTATAAGATGATCATTTCCTGGATTCCTTCATTAACTAGGTCTTGAGATCTTGGGGGACACAGCCTAATACAGATCAGAAGCTGGGGCCAAGCATTTTGGGGTCTAAGCCTTGACTGTCTGTAATTGACTGGGTGACTTTAAGCTGGTTCCCTAAACATGTTGTTTATTTAGATAATAAAAGAAGTATGCCTAGAGGTCTGTAAGGAGATTGGTCAGGTCTTGTAACTTCTAAGTCTCAGACCTAAGGACAAGATTTCATGCCCAAGTGCACAGACTGGACAGCTCCCCAGCCCCCCATTGCCACTGCGTTTACAGTGTTTTAGAGGCAGGAACAGAAGGCTAAGTAGGCCAAGGGCATTAGGTATCCCCCAGGCATCTGTTTTTCAAAGGGACTGAATTTTTTGGTGCTAGGGTACAGAGACAGGCAGAGTAGGAATAGGAAGTGTTCCCCAAAGTTCCTGGGTCTCTCTGTATCAAAGTCACCTGGGGCGCCTATTCAAATTACAGATTCTTGCCAACGCTTTGCCCCACCCCAAGTGAGACTCTCTGGAAGTGAGATACCCATGTAATTTTGGTGTACAGTGAGTTTGAGAGTCACTGAAATGGGGAAGGGGAGACGTGACTTTGGTGGAGATGTTGCTAGGGCCTAAGACTGGCCCCTTCTGAAGGGCTCATCTTGCCATTTCTCCCTGTCCTCCTGCAGGCGAGGTGTCCAGGCCCAGCCCCTCAATGTAGGCTACTGTGAGCAGGAGTTTGAACAGAACTGAGCCAGCTGCCCCAGGCACCGAGGAGGGTGCTGGCCCTGGGAGAGGTGGGGGGCCAGGCTTTCACTGCATCCCGGCCAGGGGACGGAGCCCCTTGCCCATGTGCCCCTGTACCTGGGGACAAGGGGGCTGGTGCTGGCGCTGGTGTCCAATAAAGAGTGATATGGCATTTTTTATAATAAATATGGACTACCTGTGTAAAAATTCACAAAAATATGTGAATGGCCTGAGGGTAAGAAAGCGGCCAGGACTGGTCTTCTGCCGTTGAGAGTGAGTGAGCTCAGCAGGGCCCAGCCAGGTTGGGTTTAGTATCTGCTGGATCCCAGTGGATCCCAGTGGAGGGCTGGGGATGAAACCTGTGGCCTGTGTTCCTCTCTATTTACCTATGAGTTCTGTCGCTCCTCTCCCACCCCTGAACATGTTCCAGACACCTGCCCTCATTCTCAGCCCAGTCACTGCACATCTGTGTTTCCACTCCAAGGCTCTGGTTATGGAAGGGAGACATCGTAGGGTCTGCAGGAGTTCCTGGCAGTGTTAGGGCTCCAGAGCCGACGTGGTCACAGAACGGCCCCTGCCCCGTGCACGGCTCCTGCCCCTAGAGCTGTTCTCCTTTGGGTTTCTTGCCACTTCACTTTTATAAAACTGTTATTTAAATAACGTTGAACACTATGTGGTCTAGGCACTGTGGTAAGGTGTCAAATTTGAAGGACCCAGAGGCCCTAGCCAACTCTGAAATAATGCAGGCATCTTCCACCCCCTCCTCTCACCCACTTTCAGCCAATGGCACAGCTGAAGCCATGAGAACAAAGCCCCTGGGGGGCAAGCAGGCGGGCATGTGGCTCTGAAAAGGGGTCTTTGCACATGTGACCAATTTTCTCTGAGAGGAAATGTCTCATTGTGAACCCAGCCTGCCCCCTGCTGGTTTCACGTGCAGAAGTAACAATGTAGCCAAGGGCTCGGGCAGTAGCAGACATTTTAGACGAGGATTTCTTTGGCCCTTCGTTTTTAAGTTCTTTTACCTGGTCCTGGGCTGGGAGGACAATGGTGAGGCATTTCTTTTAGAAAGCTTCCAGTATGGTGGATACAGAAACTTGGGGATGGCAGGGCAGAGAGGAATCTGAGTAAAATGTGGTTCTTAAACACCATCCTTCAGTCCCTTGACCATGTTCCTTGGGGGACGTGGTTGTAGGTAGACCAGCCCTGCATTGTGCTGCTTCTGTAGGGACAGGGTGGGCATCTTCTACCAGCAGAGTTCTCTTGGAATTTTCGCACAGCCCAACCTAGCCAAGCCCAGTGCTCCAGCTAGAGACATGAGCTAAGGCTCCGACCCTGCACCCACCAAAGGAGCCCCCTCACCTCTGTTACCCAGAAGCCTGTGGGGGTTCCAGGCAAGGATCCTGCATAAATGCTGCTACACGTCAAATGCCCCTGTTTTCCTCCTCATAACTTTCACATTGCTGTCATTTGGGATAATGTTAAATAAAACGAGCAGACACTAAATTGTAGGTCTCAAGTCAGTAAAGGAAGAGATCATGCAAACATTTACGTTAAAGTAGTAAGGATCTATGATTTCTTGTTTCTACTGGAAATATCTTCTTTAATGTTATGATCTTTACCATTAAAAAGATTAGCATGACCTGGCCAAGACCTTGTGATAGGGTGTGCTATTCCCCAGCCTCCGCCATCGCCTCTCTGGTCCACTGATCATTAGGTCATTGACCCAAAGACCATCATCAGGCCTTGACATGCTGACGGGTCAGAGGCAGTAGCCCACAGCGACCGCCAGTCTTCAGTGCACAGAACTGCTGTTTCCCCAACTCATCTCTCTTCACCTGGGCTGTGGATTTAGAGCCCCACCCTGGGCTGGCTCAGGCTCCTCAGGCCTGCCTGTGTTCTGTGAGCTACCAGGGGGCGGGGAAGGGCCCAGACTGATTTCCTGGCTCCAGTCATCCTAGGAACAGAAAGTCCTCGCCTGTTCCCTGCTCTCCTGTGAGTCTACTAAGAGGGCAAAGCAGGGCTATTGGGTATAAAATAAAGGCGTGAATGGAGGCTGGGAGAACTTTCACCTCCCCTCTCCTTCATAGGAGTAGAGGCTGCGTGCCAGGTACCCTTCCTTCTAGGAATCTGATAAAGTGATGTCACTGGTGTTTTCAGGTGCACCTCAGTGGATTACCATAGAGATAGGATATCAGCACTTGGGGACACAGGTGCCACCACAACACTAGTGATGTAGAGTCATTGCCCCTAGAATTCTGGTGAGGGGATGGCGAGGTTGTGAAGAAAGCTGAAATGATCATGGGAAAGGATGAAATAAAGGATGTTGGCTGAATTTATTTTTTATTATGGTAGATACACATGGCTTGTGGCAACATTCCTAGCACTCCAGTCTAGATTTGTATAGGTTTTCCCCCATGTCTTTTGTAAGATTAATCAGTACAGGGCACAACAAGTGTGTGGTATGTGCTTCTCTTTCCCACTAATAAAAAAAGTAGGAATTGAGGGCTTTGCTTGTTAAAATCATTCTGTTTTTTTTCCTTTATAAAGCAATAAACTCTGAAAGGTTAACAAATAGTATCCTTTCCTATATTATTAATATGTTAATTTATTTAATAAACCCAACCAATGTTGTAGGTGTCAGTATTATCCTCATTTAACAGATAAGGAAACAGGCACAAAAAGGTTAAAGTGACTTTTCTATGGTTACACAACTATGCTGAGTCAGGATTTATACTCAGGGAACGTGGCTTCAAACAAAACTGGTTAACTCTACCTTCTACTGCACCCAGCCATCAGCCACTTCCCCCTACATCAGACATCTCCCTGCTCTTGGATACATCCCTGCTCTTGCAGATATCCTGATAAAGCTGGGTGCTCAGCTACATCTGGGCTCAAGTCAGTTTCTTCCCCTATCTTTAAACAAATAAAATTAAAACCCCTCAGTCCTGCTTTTTTTAGTCAAATTGCCTGAAACAATTACAAGTTTGTCTTCATTTCTCCACTTCCTATTCGGGCCTCAGGACTGTGCAGTTTGGCTTTAGTCTTCATGACAGCCACTCTCACTAAAGCCAACAATAACCTACTTGTTGCCAAATCAAGGGACATTTCTCAGTATGTAAAACATTACTTGGTCTTTCCTTATGTTTTGAGATTTTGATCACTCTTTTTTTAAGAGATGGGGGTCTCACTTTGTTGCCCAGGCTAGAGTGTAATGGTGCCACTATAGCTCACTGCAGCCTCAAAACTCCTGAGCTCAAGCAATCCTCCCATCTCAGCCTCCTGAGAACCTGGAACTATAGGCACACGCCACCACACCCAGCTAATTTTTAAATTTTTTGTAGAGATGGATTCTTGCTATGATGCCCAGGCTAGTCTCAAATTCCTGACCTCAAGCAATCCTCCCACCTCTGCCTCCCAAAGTGCCAGGATTATAGGTGTGAGCCACCACACCCAATCTGATCACTCCCTCTTTGAAATTCTTTCTTTCCAGACTTTGGTGACACCATTCTTTCCTGAGTTTTCTTCTAGAGCTTTCATTCTCACTATCACTGTATTCAGGTGACATGAAGTAGTAAATTTTGGCTACCTGAGTTTGGAGCTTAAAGGATAGATATAGATATGTAAAACCTCTGAAGATTTGTGTAAGTATAAATGGGATCACTTAGAAGAAAGTATAGAAGAGGAAAGAAGACAAACCCTTCAAAACATAATTGGTTGTGGGATGGGAGTTTATTAAAGGAGTCATTGATAGTGAGGCTTGAGCCCAGGAGTTTGAGGTTACAGTGAGCTATGATCTGGCCACTGCACTCCAGCCTAGGTGATAGAGCGAGACCCTATCTCAAAAAAAAAATTGTTTTTTAAGTTCAAGATACAAAACTGGAACATATAAAACTTAGAACAAAAAAAGATCTAAATAAATGGAGAGATAATCTATGTTATGGATAGGAAAACTCAATATTGTTAAGACACTGGTTTTTCCCAATGTAATCTATAGATTCAGTGCAATCCCAATCAAAATCACAGAAAGTTATGTTAGAGGTATTGACAAGCTGATTCTAAAGTTTATATTGAAAGGCAAAATACTGAGAATTGCCAACACAATATTAAAGGAGAAAAACAATGTTGGAGGACTGACAACACCCTACTTCAAGACTTACTATAAAGCTACAATAATTAGGACAGTTTGTATTTGGTAAAAGAATAGATGAATAGATCAATGGAACAAAATAGAGAGCCCAGAAATAGACTCACACAAATATAGTCAACTGGTCTTTGACAAAGGATCAAAGGCAATTCATTCCAGGTTCCATGTGAGATACACACACACACACACACACACACGCACACACACAAGGCAATTCAATTGAGAAAAGAGAATCCATTCAACAAATGATAATGAACAATGAACATACAAGAAAATGAACATCCAAATTCTGTTAATGAAACAGAATGAAGCATAGTAACAGAATGAAGACCAAAACCACATTCTCATCTCCATAGTCACAGAAAAAGCATTTGACAAAATAGAAAACCTATTTGTGATTAAAAAAAAAAAAAAAAGCCCTCTCTCAACAATATAGGAACAGAAAGGAATTTCTACAACCCAATAAGGGCTATCTACAAAAACATCTACAGTTGACACATTTAATGGTGAAGGACTGAGTATTTTCCCCTAATATTTGGAGCAGAGCAAGATTTCCACTTTAACTTTTTGTATTCAAGATTGTACTGGGGGAATCATATGTTCCAGTTTCTTGAGTTTTATGAATTTAAATTTGGTACTGCTTACTAAAGAGATATTCTATGGACATTTATGTAATAATAATATACAGGCAGTCCCCAAAGTCACCATACATAGAGAAAATGGGAAATTGTAGCTAAATGTAACTTATTTAAATATACTGAAAACAAACATTCCAAAGGTAGAGATTGTAGAATATACACAATTATGAGTGTTGCCGCTATGTAGTGGAAAGAACTCTAACAAGAGATCTGGAGTCCACAGATGACTTATTTTCTTTATGTGTAAAAACAGGAGAAAAAAATTTTAATGCATTTGATCTATACTTCATGCCCTACACAAAAATTAACTAAAAATGATTTATCGACCCAAATGCAAAATCAAACATTATAAAGCTTCCTGGAGAAAACATAAGAGAAAATATTTGTGTCCTTGGTTTAGGCAAATATTTCTTTAAAACA